TTTTCCAGAATATCATGTTTGTCTTATTCATAGAACTCTCATTAACATCTTTATTGTTGCTATTGTTGCACATATTTTAAATATCATATTATTATTGTTCTCACAATATTGTGGTTCCAAAGAATCCAAGCAACCTTTCAATGTTTCCCCCGTTTGATACGTACGTAGTTCTCAGTTTAGTCTTACGAAATGGTTTGGGTTTTTTTCCACAATCATGATCCCAACACGTGTTTCGCTAATTGTATGAATGTGAACAATTATTAAGTGGCACCCCTTGAAGTATCGGCGTGGTGTTATTTTTTTTTTCTCCTGGGATTCAAAGGGTTGAGCTCGTTTCCCCATGGGGGGTTAGGTAATTTTATCCAGCATTATTTATTTGTTTTTAAGGCGGTTTTTAATTCTTATCTCAGAGGGTGGGGCGGGTGCAGCTTCCTTTGAAGGTCTGCTTGGCTTTTATGTCATGCTAGTTGAAAGCATCCCGCCTCCAAAATGGTTTTACTTGTGGTAAAACAGAAGCGAAGGCCATAGCTTGTGTCTGCCGTAGCTGTGCTGTGCTGGTGGATCGAGGTGGGCGAACGTGTCAATCTAGATGTGACGTCAAACATCTGTGGAAAAGGGCGTAAAACATTACTGGGGCTAAGAAGGAATATAAACATTTTTCTCTGTGTGTGTGTCTGGCTGTCTATCCCTCAGTTTGTATGTTTGACTGTCTGTAAGTCTGTTGTCACATGTACATACACATACACATGCACATACATATACACATACATATACATATACACATACACACAGACATACACATACACATACATAAATATATACACATACACATACACATACACATACACATACATATACATATACACATTCACATACACATACACATACTCATACTCTTTCACACTCTCTCATATTTCTCTACTCTCTTTTTTCGTTTCTCATCTACTGCTTCCAACAATCAAATTCCTCAATGCCCCCTTCACACTCACCCCACCCCGATTTACCGTTCCGTTGTCATCAACTGTCTGCCCTCTCCCTCCGCACCGTTCCCTCCCCTGTCCACCTTTCGTCAGGTCACCCCTCTCGTTCACGTGTCTAGAATTGCGAATTTTCCGGTTAAGGGCCCTTCCGTTTCTGTTTCGAGATCTCCTTCCTGTCTTGTCCTGCCACTTATCCTACCCCCCTCTCCCTTCCCCTTTCTCTCCAACCACTTGTCCACCCCCTCACCCCTCCCCTCCCAAAATCTCTCCAGCCAAAGAGATAACGAGAATAACGAGACAAAGCCACAGAGAATGTCACCAATTTGTATCTGCCGTCTTGGAAGCAAAAAGTTGCAAGTGGGGTTTACTTCAGGGATTTCCTGCCTCCGCTTTCTTTTTTGTCATCAAAGCTCGCCGCTAACAAAGGTTATCAAAGACGAATCGCTTCAAACTGGATAATTTTGTTCACTTTGGGCGAACATTTTGAATTCTAAGTGCCCTCAATTTGTAAAAAATGGGAGGTGTAATGGCTTTCATGGATTCCAAAAATGCATACTTCGAGCTTCAGATGATGTTGGCTCAGAAGTAATTTATTTGAGTTATTGGATTTTACATGGCAATTGTTCTGTTCATTTATAGTGAAAGATTTATAATGATTTTTTTTAACATTTCAACTTTTACGGTTCAAAGTGAATGAAAAAGAATAATAAGCAAAGATAAAATCAAACGCATTTTTACAGCAAGCACTAGATAGATAGATCGATCAATAGATAGATGGATAGACAGACAGACAGACAGACAAACATACAGACAGGCAGTCAATCAGATAGATAGATAGATAGATAGATAGATAGATAGATAGATAGATAGATAGATAGA